GGAAACAATCAGAGCTGAGAGTAAGAAGAGTGCTGGACAGCCAGCAACTCGCACGGCAAGAAGCAGAGGGAAAATTTGAGACAAAGCACATGAACGCACACACACACACACACACACACACACACACACACACACACACACACACACACAGCATATTGACCTCTTGTCAAGTCAAACATTTGCAGTCTGATACCAGCTGCAAGTCTAAAGAAAACAATAACCCTCAGAGTAATGTCTTGCACGCATGACTGAACAATCACAGTTTCTGTGTGAAAACGATCTAAACTGAGATGACCTGACAAACAGTATATTCTTAATACTGTTATCATTAATAAAAGCAATTTGCATGTTTTATTCTTTTTTATATATATATATATATATCCCACTGTGTGGAAACAAACTCAATTCTGCAAACATAGCATCACACTGATACTGCAAAACCAAAACGGGTGTCACGAATCTAACCAGAGCTAAATCTTAAAAGGTACTGGCAAGTGATCCAAATCTTAACTGGAGTCAGTAGGAGAGACCATATTTCTCCAGTTTTAGCTTCCCTCCTTTGGTTCCCTTTCAAATCCAGAATAAAATTCAAAATCTTACATATAACCTACAAAGCCCTCAACAACCTAGCTCCATCTTATATTACAAATCTTATTGTTCCATATTTTCCTAACAGAGCACTTCGCTCTCAGACTGCAAGCTTACTTACAGTTCCTAGAGTTTCCAAAAGCAGAATGGGAGGAAGATCTTTCAGTTATCAGGCTCCTCTCTTGTGGAACCAACTTCCAGTTTCTGTCCGTACGGCTGACACATTGTCCAGTTTTAAGACTGGGCTTACGACTTTCCTTTAAGATAAATCCTATAGTTAGGATTGGCTTGTTATGCTGCTATAGACTTAGACTACTGGAGGACAAACTGACCACATTTCTTTAAAAAAAATTGTTACAATTGAATACTTTTCATTTTATATTATTTATATCTTAACATGTGATTCTCGACCTGCCATTGTGTATCTATTCCTCCTTCCTGTTCCTCTGAAACCCAGCTGGTCGAAGCAGATGGGAGCTTGTCCTGAGCCTGGTTCTGCTAAAGGTTTCTTCCTCATGAGGGAGTTTTTCCTTTCCACTGTCGCCTTCATGCTTGCGCAAGATGAGAGTCTGCAATGAAGTTAAACTCAAAGCAGTCTGCTCCTCAGATAAATGATGTTATTAACTTACTTTTATATATATGGATGTTTCTGTTCAGTGCACTGAGATTATTTCTGTTGTGACTTGGTGCTATATTTATTTATTTTTCATTTATTTACTCTTTATTTATACAGGTAGTCTCATTGAGTCACGAGGACTCATTTTCAAGAGAGACCTGTTTGGAAGCAAATGGGGGTTAAGGGCCTTGCTCAAGGGCCCAGAGTGGGGCAAATGAGGGTGGAGGCAGGTGTGGGTGCTTCACCTTTTCCACCCACATTTTGATGTTGTCAGTGCAGGGGGCTGAACCTGTGACTTTCCGATCACAGGCCCATCTTCTCTAACCATGCGCCACCACTCCCCATTATATAAATAATATACACTGTATATATAAATAAACTGAACTGAATTGTTTGGCTATCCATTAGCTTAAAAAACTTTTACCTCTTTCTACACACTTTGTGCTCTCTGGATGATGTCGCTGATGAGGCACTAACTATTGACAACTCTTAGACAGAACGTCACTTTAAAAATGACTAAACTGTCCCTTTAAGGCTCAAATCATCATTAATTATTCAGATTTAATAAGAGATGCTCATGGCTTTGTGGACAGCTGTTATGCTTTCAGACAATTACACTGTCTAAAAAGGAAATTATTGACTCAGATTGAGCTACAGTGCCCCCCCACCCCCCCATTCTAAATCAGTATTCTAATCCGATATTTTCCAAAGAGCTGAGAACTTCTATTTTCCTAGAAGCCATTCTAGCCTGAATTGGTCATTTTGTGATGAGGGGAGTGGTTTGAGGCCATAATCTGTGAAACCTTTAGGACTGGCAGCAGAACGCAGAACTCCACTAACTGTATGAATCGGGTCACAAGGCAATAAAAGAAGCAGCTCCGTCTTTGATCAGGGCCGTACACCGGAGAATTTCACAAGGAAAATGTTGAGAAGCTCACCAAGAGACTCAGCTTGATGATTTGATGCATCAACAACTTGATGGTTCTAAAATGGACTTGAAAAATGAACTCTGTGCTGCAGAGGAAGATCATCCCCCAGCCTGAATCACCCTGCGCTGAGGGATTAAAGGAGTTTCACATGAGTGCCCTTGGGTCACTGGAGCTCCACAACGGCACACAGGCCAAACACACTTATGAAATGAAAGACAGTCCTGCAGTGGGACGGGAGCCTCCAGTTATCAGTTATGCAGACTGATGGCAGCAAACACAATAACATGCACCTTTTAAGACCGTACTTTTGGCACTCTTTTCCATTTTTCAGTGTATGGAACATCACTCCTAGCAGTTGGTCGCCAGAGAAAGAACAACTAAAACGTTTAACAAGTTGTAGACAGCTGACACAAAGGGAACACTGTTCTAGGCCACTCCCCGGCTCCTCCCCTGAGTGGTCCGAACAAGAGGCCAGAAAGCTTATCTGTTAAAGCCTGATGGCTTAGAGTATATGTAAACGTACAGTGCAGGAATCTGAATACAATGATAGAAAGTGAAGTTTGTCATCAAAGATTTGGTCACCTTTGGCTGAAATTCTAGTTTTCTTGTAACAAACAGCTAAAACCTTATATTGTATTCCAGATTACAATTTAAGCCCTTGTGCTGCAAGCTGTAAACTTTTCTCCGAGGCCTCTGTGTCCCCGCCACAGAGACACGAGAGGGAACTGTATTTGTTCAGTTCTGGCCTTAAGAAGGAGGAGGACGGGGAAGGGGGGGGGGGGGGGGTCCACCATTTGGATGAGCTCTTCTGGGGATGGTGCTAAAAAAGCAGCCAGTGCACAAATGGGCACAAGCTCATTAGCTGCTCTTCTGTGGGTTTGACACAAACGGGCGAAGCAGCAAACGGTCAACAAACGTGCATCCAAAGTAAACACATTACAGCGCAAAACACAAGGATGCACTTCAGCGCCGCCGGAATACTGTCATTCATATCGCCCGCTACCGAAGGCTGGAGCAGAGCGATAATGTTTTTGTCTGCATCTGTGTTCAGTTGGCCGTACCGCTCGCAAACTTTCTCACCCTGAAGGAGCACAGCTGGAACATAAAAACAAGACAACGGCCACTTTGAGGGGATACTAACCCAAATAATCCAATTGACCTCCACGACATGGTTGAAGTTGTAAAACTTTCCCCTCGCGTTTAACCCTTGCACACAGCAACAGAGCAAATACACTAAATCCACCAAGGCTGCGAAGCATAAAGAGCGCGTAAGAAAAGAGAAGAGACAGGCTCGGTCAGTTCTTAAAAACAAAGAAAGGGAAATGTGACAGAGCAGCAGAACGCTTAATGCGTTCCAGATTTACCCATCAGCCCCTCGTCTCTATTATCAGAAGTCTGTTAGTTAAAAGTAGTTCCTAAGATGAAATAATGTTGCTTTTCTATCATAGCGATCAGATTTTTTTATTGTTGTGCCAAAGGATTGAGGCCATAACAGTGCAGTGCTTCAAAGACCACACAAACAGACAGTTCTATGTAAATTTACAACCACGCTGATGAAAAACAGAGGTGGAGCAACTATTTCCCTGCTGCCGAGCTCCACTTTTACTCAAACTTGTTGAAAATACAACCAACAATTTTTTTTTTAATCAAAACAAACCCAGCCAGAGCATGTCACAAAGCGCAGTTTAGATGACGATCAAAAACAGATCAGGGGTTGAGAGGGTTTTTCCTCTTACTGACACCGACTTGACGGACCGCATTCTGCTGTTTCGTTGAACCTGTCAGTGATTCAACTGCAGCTACTGTGACCGAACGGATTTGGAATGCTGTTTTTTACATTTTCTAAGGTTAAAAAGGTCCTTAAATGTCAGAAACATGTGCAGTTGTTGAGTTCAAACAGCAGGTGTAGCCCGAGGTTGTGAGCTTCTAATTATACAATTAGCCCGCTACATATCCATGCATCTCAAATCTTCACCTGTGAATTATGTACTTAGTAGGACTTTGCAGCGTATCATCACATACAACGTTTGTTGACGTAATAAGAAACAAAAACTTACCATTACATGACTTTTCAGATGAGACTAACAGTATTAAATTAAACTTATTTGAATAAAATTTAAAAAAAGGAGTGAAATGTAATTGTTAGTGTTAGTTAACGTAAAAAATAAAAGACTGTTTCTTTTTAATAAAGCCTGAGATAAAAGTTAAAATTTTCTGGAAGCCTCTCAAATAAAACTAGAAGTTCTCTCGATTATTGGCTAACAGTTTCACCTATTTTTTTTTTTTTTTTTTTTTTAAGATGTACTTTTTTTTCTGATAAATTATTCATCAATTATTCAGTCTATTTATATACAGTGTTTTAGTCCACATACAATTAAACCAACAAAAAAAAAAAAAAAAAAGACAAGCAACACGCTAGATGTATACAAAGTATTACATTTTTAAAAACATAAATTCTAAAATCTAAAATACTGACCAATAAAAAAAAAAAAACAAGAAGGGGGAAATGAATTTAAGCTAAATAAAAGTAATAAAATAAAATAGTACAAATAAAAAAAAGAGACAAACCAGTAGAAATAAATCAGATTGCATGGTAAAACTAAGATGAAATTATCTTATAGTGGAAAAAAAACGCTAGTCCAAAACGTAAAATAGAAACATTTGAACACTACGAGCTTATTTTGAACTTTTATTTTAATGATGTTACGTCAAACATTTCATATATTTAGCAAAAATAAGGTTCTGTTGTACAGTAATAACTTAAAGTAAATACTAAAATATGTTTAATAGCTCTGTTTGGCTCCAAGTGAATCAAATGATTGGATCAAGAGAAGACAGGCTGGTTGATGAGGACCTTCATGTCTTACCTCTCTGGATGCAAAAGTCCAGACCAGTTTGAAGTTATTCCTCCAGCTCGTTTTTGTATCTCTGTGGGGCAGCTGCTGGTAAAACTGGTGGACTCCTCAGGTCTGGAAGTGATGGATCCAGGTCTGAGCTGAGCAGGACAGAAAACAAACATAGTGCCTCACTTCTTGTGTCCTAAAACACAAAGCTTTTTTTTTTTTCTTCTTTCTTCTCCTTCTTGTTGTTGTAATCAAGTGTGTGTCAATGAGCGGGCAGCTGGTGGAAATCTGATTGTGGAGCCTGTCAAAAATAATCCCTGCTCACTGAAAAAGCCAAACACAATCGAGTATCAATCTCCACATATTTCTCTTCCCTCCCAACGCAGGCAGCTCCGCGCAAAAATGTGAAAAATGACAATGATCTGAAAACTTCACCGAGACGAGCGGCATGAAAAAGCTTCCCAGTTACTTAAAGCAGAACGAGGGAACTTTGTTTTAGAGTTTAACTTACCTTTATTATTCTGGCAGTCTCCCTAATCTCCTCACTGAGGCCGGCTGCTCTTTTTAGTAACTTTCTTGTGTTTTGGCGCCTTGTTGTTTTCCGTAATATTTGTCAGACGTTTGACAGTATAAGTGGAATGTTAAGTATGACTTTGGTATGAAATCAACGCACTACACTGGAAAACGAAGGGGGAGGGGAGAAAAAAGACTTCGAGGCGGAGCCAGTGGCGCGCGTCAATCAACGAGTTCGCGGGGCGGAGACTCGACCCTAAACCCCGCCCCTAAATCACAGAACACGGGAGCTTCCGGTCTGTGAAACCTTCACGGCACAGAGCTAAAATAGATGGGCAATACATGGAAAATTATCCTCACAAGGACGTTTATGAAGCTTCTGATGTTATAGATAAAGACTTTGGGTTGTGAAGAAAGACATACAGGTATAAAAATTAAAAAGAATAATATCTAAATAGAATTTATAAATGAAAATCACTTACTTGTGTCACAGCATACATTTATGCTAGCATTGATAGCGCAGCAGCATGATGATGTGTTGCAAATAGAAGCAAGCAAAACATGTTAAATAAAGGAGATTGATTAGGAATACATTCATTAGTCTGTGGCTACTTCACATAATATATTTAAATATTAAATTCTGTCTATTTTACAAGTATATATTACATTTTTATCCAATTTAAACTGAAACCACGCTCCCATTTTCAAAAGCTCAACATTTTTGGCTGAAAAATACACATCACTATATTGGCTTTGACCTCTTTACTTAACTGTTGGTGTCTACCCTGCTCATCTGTTAGTAAAATATATCATTAATTCATTCATTCAAGCTTTATTTAGACAGGTAAATCCCATTGAGCCTCGAGGACTCATTTACAAGAGAGATCTGATTTCAACAAAGAATGATGATAACAATGGACAACAGCGACAACAATAAACAGTTATAAAAAGTCATACAATTTTTTAAATTTATTTATTTAATTTTTTTATAAATAGGAAGGCTAAAAAAAAAGAAAAGTAACAAAAACAGCTAGATTCTAAGGCGAATGTAGAAAACTAAAAACAGGAACATGTCTGCATTGGTCCCTGCCAGGAGTCCAACTGATTCTTAAAGCCACTTGAGTCAAGGTCGAGAGCTTCAAATCTTTTTGTAAAATATTCCAGGAAACAGGAGTGGAGTAGGAGAAGGCCCTTTTGCCTAGTTCAGTCTGCACTGAGGGAACACTGCAGGTAATAATGTCCTGAGAGCGCACGCTGTAACTGCACTCACGCAGAGACATGAAGGAGGAGATGTATGAAGGCAGCAGACCAAGAAGTGATTTAACGATGCAAATGTACCAGTGAGAGAGTCTGTGTGAAGTTAATGATGACCAGTTAACCAGTAAATACAGGGTGCAGTGGTGGGTATGATAATCACAGCCAGTTATGAATCTTAGTGCACCATGATAGACAGCATCCAATATCTACAGGGTAATAATTAATCACTGTATAGATTTCAGTGAAACTTTCTGAAAATAGTTTGGGATACTTATATACTTTCTAAATAAATAAAACAGATTCTGCCTAAATCTGATAGATTTAGGTAGAATAGATAAATAGTTTTCAGCAATCTGTAGAATAAACATGCAGTGTCAGAGTTATATTTAGTTTTGTTTGCTGTTAAACACAACCAAATTAGATTAATTTCAGGCCAAATAATCATATTTAAGTGAAGAAATGTCCCCAATATATTTTCAAGTTCAAATGAGATTTGCTGGAATCTGATCTCACAAACAGGGCAGCACGGTGGTGCAACTGGTAGAGCTGCTGCCTCTCAGCGAGAAGGTTGCCGGTTCAAATCCCGGTCCGGAGGCCTTTCTGGGTAGAGTTTGCATGTTCTCTTCATGCATGCGTAGATTTTCTCCAGGTACTCCAGTTTCCTCCCACAGACCAAAAACATGCATGTTAGGCTGATTGGTAACTCTAAATTGTCCCTAGGTGAGAGAGAGAGAGTGAATGGTTGTTTGTCTCGTTAGTCTCTATGTGTCCCTGTGATGGAATTGCAGCCCATCCAGGGTGTGCCCCACCCCTCGCACAGTGATTGCTGGACATGGGCACCGGTGACCCCCGTGTCCCAAAATGAAAGAAGCGGGTAAAAGATGATGGATGGATGGATGATCTCACAAACAAACTTGTTATTGGTTCATAGCACAGAATGTGCCTCAGCAACTATATGATTTCCTTACAGAGTGTGATGTGAAAAAAGGTGGTTGAAGTGCAACAAGAAGAAGCAAAACACAATTTTAAATAAAGAGATTTATTTTTAAAGGAACAGTTCAGCCATTGCACCAATAGTAAGTAGCCATCGTTTCATATATTCTTGCCCAACTGTAACCTGTAAATACAGCCCAGATATAATACATTACAATGAATCTGTTTTTTCCACCTCGTATTTTATAGTCTTTCTTTTAATTAGGCATATAAGCTGATGCATATTGACTTATAAATGTATACATTATTAAAACATAATTTCATGTTTATTTGGTATTTGCACACTGTTAACACACATTTACTGTGTTTAATTAATTAAAGGGGATCTCTGGGATTTATGATGAATTCTGTTATTATTTTTAAGTTTCATTAAAAAAAAAAACCCTTTCATCTCGTGACAGTGTGTGCACCAGTACAAACCACATAAAACACATTTCCATCCAGCAACAGCTCCTTCTGTTGGTCAACAAAATGGTTGCAACATCCTGCAATTATTCATTAATCCACCACTGACACTAAAGAACTTTGATTTAGATGCAGTGAAAGAAATGACAAACTTTAAGAGGACAACAATTAACTTTGCATTTGTTGAGCTGTAGGTCACAAATCAAAAACAGAGAAAGTGGAGACGAATTCACCTTAAAGCATCTGTTGAAGAGGAGCCACCAGCTTCAGGCTCCACTTAATGTGCGAGTTTGGACAACTGCCTGAACAGGTTCAGGCAGAATACACACCTCTCACTTTTGCTCTAGGCCCTCGCTACAAACAGGTTTTTCATTCTGAGCGAAGCTCTCGACGTGTCAGGCAAGCAGTAAAGAGGAGCGTGGGTGGGTGTCTCAAAAACTCACAACTGGAATCTGTTTTATTCTCTGCCAGCTGCCTGCGCACTTCAAATGGTACAATCATAAAACATGTTTTAAAATTGATCTGACAGACTGCAAAAAGCCCAATGTGCAGGAGTTAACTTAGAAATCAAGAAAATGTTCACTTGGATTATTACAATCAGCCCATAAACACAATAAAGGCAGTTTTTAAAAAATAAACTTTTAACCATGAATCATGTCAACAATATAGAAATAAAAGAAAACTGAAAATGTTCAAATCAGATGGGACAGATTACTCTAAATTATTTGTCATGAACGACACTTTTAATGATTTATTTTGACGCTTTTAAACCGTACGTTTTATATGCATGTTTTTACTGTCCCATATGAAACAAGACACTGAACTAGCATAGCATCTATAGAAACGCAGTACAATAAAGCACAACCAACAACAACATTAACATCTTTAAGGGTACTCAATGCAAAATATGAACTCAAACATAACTTTTTCCCGCCTGAACTGTATCACATGGTGGCATTTGAAAGAGCTTACTCCAGTAATTTTCTAAATATTCATTGATATGCAATTCTGAAATGCGGGTCCACACGCAATGTAAAGAAAGCACATTTATCTGCATGTTTCATTCAATAAATTTAAATACGCATCAATTCATACAGTAAAAAAAATGGCTGAATTCTCAATCCCAAATGGCTCTTCCATAGACGTTGTCATAGATATCTTCAGTCACTGTATATATATGTATATATACATATGTATATATATATATATATATATATATATATATATATATATATATATACACATACATACTCTTTATGACATTGCAACAAGTACCTAGAACTGGTTTAAACTGTTTTGATTGAGGTGCACCATAATCATTTCTATTTATTAATAACACTTTATTATCGGAAGTCCTTTGTAGTTTTGGTTCCACAAATTGTGATCTTTCCACTGAAGTGTCAGAACAGAAAACAAACCCCTCCTGCGCCATGTTGGGCAAGACTTTAGATAAGACTTCAGATAAGACTGTGAAGTCTGAATTTGTCACACGTGGAGGAAGAAACTCATATGCCAATAAAAGGCGGGAGAGCAACCAGAAGTTTTGCCGCTCACAAGGAACTGTTTGTCATCGCCACCCATCTCAGAAAGTGTGTAGGCGAGCGAGTCCAGAGCCGGGGCTGGTCGGATGTGAGTGTGAGCTTGCTGCGTTCTGGTTTCACTGTTTGTTGTTTCTGATTGTTGGATTATTCACAAGCGATTTTGCCGTCGAAGCTTGAGAGTGCGATGGCAAATGCCTGGACGGCACACATGGGGTAGTTGTAGTCCAGAGTAAAAATGTCATCTGCTATTCTTCCAAACTGCATCACAATGTAGTCCACTGGAAAATATAAAGCAAAGTAAACTGGAGCAATGTTTGGAGTGATACAAAGGCATAGACTTACCAACCTCACTGTACTTAAAGGGACAGTCCTGTCCATCTTAAAGTCATGTTGTGTCCGACAGCTACTAATACTTAATACCTTAGCTATGATATCAGTCATAGAGCATGGAAAAAAGAAAAGGAGACAAAAGTCACCATTCTGGCTAGGTTTATGATGCTATGCCAAATTGGTGCCATTTTTTTTGTATTTATGCTCAACATACATTCAACACAAACATTGTTTGGTTGAGAAAATTGCAACAAACTAAACAGAGTCATGAAAAAATGCAGAGGTTTGTTATTAGCTAATGTTGTCTTGTTTTTATGTTGTTTTTAAGAAAGAGTTGTTAAACACAAATTATTTTTAAAAAAAAAGGTTGGCCAGCCATTTGCCTGGGCTCGAAGACTTGCCCCTTTCTTAATACTCTTTTCTCCATGACTGATGTTATGTCTGATTAAATATTGATAACTATTGGACAGAACACCACCTCAAGGATCGTATGTTGTTGTGCTTTTTAATACATAGAAACTAATTCATCTTGGCTAATTCTCTATCCTTATACTTCTCAGTAAAATGCTTGACATAGTTCAACACATCCACATCTAGTTGCAAACGAGCAGGAACTCTTCCTGAAGAAGGAAATACTCACAGTCCTTGGAATGAACTATCTGGAAGTTCTTGACTGAGGCCTGCGTGACTCTGCCGTTGAAGTTCAACACATGGGAGGCCGTCTCTTCGTTCCACACGGGCGTCTTGTTGTGAAGCTCAATCAGATTTTCCGTCCTTCTATTCTGGTACTTTACCAACAAGCCATCGCAGTCCTGTGGACGATTGATGAACCATAACTCAGCGAGCATCAACAAAGAGCAATATGACTTTACCCACTTGCCTTTTGCAGCTCTCTTAATAAACAGACCACGAATCAAAGTGTGAGGAGCATAACACTGGCTCTGTGGGTTTGTTGGAAATATTTATTTTTCTTTTATGTGGTTGCATCGTTATTTTTATTTTTTTATTATCTAAAAACAGAATGATTTTTATATGTATGGAGAAAAGTTTAGAAGCATTTTTATTGATGTTCAAAGTAAAAGAAAAGCCAACTCCATCCGTACTGAAAGCAGACATGAACTGACATGAACATTTATTACATAAAGATGAGATGTAAGATTTCATTTTGTTCTATTTAAAATAAAACTGCAATCAGGGCACAAGAAAAAAATATCCATCATAACCTCCAAAATGCCATTTTCTTTCTGTATACTTTAAATCTTTGTTCTGTTGAGATGGCATATTTTCATTTTCTATACCTCAATTTCCATGAAATCCACAAATTATTTAGTTCATCCAATGGAATATTTCAAATGTTATTTCTTTTCCACACTTGTCTTTATGTCCACAGTGATATTTCACATTCATTATGGACATTTGAGGCAATAGTTTCAACCCAGACACACTTTGATACGTTTATAAAGCCTTTCTTCTGATTTAAATTACACCATCCATCCATTATCATCCACTTATTCGGAAGTCGGGTCTTGGGGGCAGCAGCTTGAACAGGGAAGCACAGACTCTTTCCACAGCCACCCCTTCCAGCTCTTCTGGGAGGACTCCAAGGCGTTCCCAGGCCAACCGAGAGACATGGTCTCTCCAGCATGTCCTGGGTCTTCCCTGGGATCTCCTTCCAGTCAGACATGCACGAAGCACCTCCCTACGGAGGCACCCAGGGAGCATTCTTACCAGATGTCTGAACCACCTCAACTGGCTCCTCTCGATGTGGAGGAGCAGCGGTTCTACTCGGAGTCTCTCCCGGATAACTGAACTTCTCACACTATCTCTAAGGGAGAGTCCAGCTACCCTGCGGAGGAAACTCATTTCAACCGCCTGTATCTGCAATCTCATTCTTTCAGTCACTACCCAGAGCTCATGACCATAGGTGAGGGTAGGAATTTAGACTGACTGGTAAACAGAGAGCTTTGCCTTACAGCTCAGCTCCCTCTTCACCACAATGGACCGGTACAGAGTCTGCAATATTGCAGATGCTGCGCCAATCCGTCTGCCAATCTCACACTCCATTCTTCCCTCACTCGTGAACAAAACCTTGAGATACTTAAACTCCTCCACTTGAAGCAGAACCTCACCCTCGACCTGAAGAGAGCAATCCACCCTTTTCCGGTTGAAGACCATGGCCTCAGATTTGGAGGTCTTGATTCTTATCCCAGCCGCTTCACATTCAGTTGTGAATCGCTCCAATGAGAGCTGAAGTTCACGGCACAATGACGCCAACAGGACCACATCATCTGCAAAGAGCAAAGGTGGGATCCTGAGGCCACCAAACCGGAATCCCCTCCTCCCCCTGGCTGCACTGAGAAATTCTGTCCATAAAAGTTATGAACAGAATCGGTGACAACAGGCAGCCCTGGCGGAGTCCAACTCCCACCCTGGAGAGGTCCAACTTACTAACAGCAATGCGAATCAAACTCTCGCACTACTTGTATAGGGACTGAACAGCTCGTAACAACGGGCCCCCAATCCCATACTCACGGAGCACCCCCCCACAGTGTACCCCGAGGAACACGGTCAAATGCCTTCTCCAAGTCTACAAAACACATGTAGACTGGAATGACACTAATGAATGACACAAATAGAATAATTTTCCAGATACTTACTTTGATAATCTGATAAGTCTAACTACAAGGTTTAACAAGTCCAAAAGTTTAAGCTCTCCTAAACCGTCAGCTGATGACAAATGACAAGTTCTAATGTCCTGATAAAATTCAGAGACTTTATAAAAAGAAATAACCACATAACATTTGCAATTAACCAAAAAATGTTCACTTTACATTGCATTTAAATAAAAGAAAACTGCATTTTTCTATTTTCATGCTGCATCTTACATTTCTAGGTCTGAGTGGAACTCTGTCATTGTCCTTGTCCATTCCTGGAATGACGACCGTCATCCTTCTAGGTCCTTTAATTCCTAAAACATTTGTCTCCTGAAGCCAAAAACAAAGAAATGTTAATATAAAACTATTATTTTACAGAGTAATGCAAATCAAAGAGTATTGTGGAAAGCACTGAAACTGCAAAATGACTTACATAAATGATGCCTGCTAACTCTTGCCGTGCGTTAGACATATCTGGAAAAGCTCTTTCTGGGTTCAGAGCATTGTCAAATACAGTAAATTTGGTCCCCATTAAATTTGACCTGGTTAATGTGAAAAAGTTACATTAAAATGGCTTCAAATACTTGTTTTAAACTAAGAAAAATACTTCAGTTTTGTTCTTTTAAGTACACATTTTTGCGTACCTTAACTTTCCGATGAAATTCTCACCCCCTCTTGATAAGTCTGTGGCATCAACGGAAATGAGGTAGTTTGAAGTTGTGCTTTTCTTTCTTTTTCTTCCAGCCAACAGGAATGTCTACAAAGAGGAAAAGTCAACATACGCTGCAATGTTGGATTACAAGAAAGTACGTTGAGCACTATAAACTATTATATGTCCTTATCAATAAATTTTGCAGTTGAAAATCAGTCCTAAAAGCAGCGCTTTTCATAAGATGTTGTTTATTCTTCACTTTAAAGAGGACATATTAGCTGCCTGATGTGTAATTATGTTTAAAACTTTAATCAAGATCCATACTGGTCTGGCTGGCAAAGGTTTTAAAGTTCATATTGAACAAGTTTATTTTCACAGCTTTCAGTCTGAGTCCAATCCCGTCTGCATTCAGGATGGTATTTAACACTATATCTGGTGTCACAAATCTTATAAATCATATTCTATTATTCATTATCAGTTATCCAGATAAACATTTTACTTTTCTTTGTTTTGTGCAAATCATTTGATACTGCAGCTCACATCCTGCTCTTTCAAAGGCTTCATGATGTTGACTTTGATTTGGAGCAGGAGGCGTTCCGCAAGGTGCCATTCTAGGTTCAATTCTGTTTTTCATCTTGAAGCTTAGTTTTCACAAAGTTTTTTTTTTTTTATACACCTGTACCTTGAGTTTTTTAATGTAATATTCATATCATTGGGCCTATTTGTTTGATAATACATGCTCTAAAACAACTTTTGGAGTGGAAATGGTACCATATGAATAATTGGATTTTTTTAAAAATTATTATTATTTTTTTTACGAGGCATCTTTTAAGATCTTTAAACTGAATTATACACAAAGGAAATTAAAACCACATTTTTCACAAAAGTAAGAGCTGTGAGCTATTATAATATGAACATATCAACTTTAGACTGACTTAAAACTCTTGTATGGATATCTCAACATTTGAATCATGGACAGGTTTACATTCAAATTAAAAAAGATGATCATGTATGGTTTATTCTGGCCAATAAAATACCTTTTAATGTATAAGTAAAGGTTTGTTGTGACAAGCTGCATGAGAAGATAATTTCTACAGCAGTTATTTATTTCCTTAGACTTTTGCTCTGCTGTATGTTACTTCAGCAATATACATTTTAATAGCTTCAGAAATTGTAATTTTAGAAACCCTACCAATATAAAAGACTTGATCAGGCTGACCTAGTAGATGTATTATTTTTTTGATGCAACAATCTGACCTTTTTCTCGTTGTCTAGATGAAGGTAATACAGGGGGTAGAGGCTCTTGTCCATCCCTCTTTGGTCCCGAGTCACTCTGCATTTGACCGTCACACCCTGCGGCGCTGGCTGCATCACAAACTTCTCCAAGTCATCAAACTCAATCTCAGGTGAGGGAGATCGCTCCTGCACAAGAAACACATATTTCACGACAGGTTAGTTTTATGCACTATGAACTACGTTGAACTGTGTCTTAAACATGACATGACTAAAGTCTGATTTATTTTGATGATTTTTGAGGGTATTTGAACTACACCTTCTTCTTTTTTCCTTTTCCCTTCTTCTTCTTGGACTTTTCTTCTTTTTCGGACTCCGATTCATCACTTTCTTCTGTCTTTCCTGGAATAAACAACAACTATCTCACATACTGATCCAACAGATTTAAAAAATGAAGTTTTTTTTTTTAGCAAACGAGCCTTTTTTCTTTGTCTTCTTGTCCTTGTTTTTGTCCTTCTCTGTTGATGCTTGAAACATGGATGCAGAACCAGCGGTGGATTTCTTCTTTGATTTGGACGATTTAGTTTCCTCTCCACTGTCATCACTGTCTGACTTGGCCGCTGCGCAATGAACCAGATTGTTAGTCAAATACTTTATAGTTGGAATAAATTTTATTTGGCCTTTTATCTGCGATAGTTTATTTTCTATAACAAATGGTCTTTTTTTTTTTTTAAGTTGAGACTTTTAAAAGTAAAATAAGATATTTCAGTAAAAAAAAAAAAAAAAAAAGTCAAATATCTACCTTTCTTTTTGCTTTTCGATTCTTTGTCTCCATTTATCACGAACATCGAAGCGGGTTCTTTCTTTTTGGCGTTTTCCTTTGACTTGGACTTTTTCTCTTTTCCATCAGAATCTTTGTCCTCTAAATGAAAAAAAAATAAAAATGATAGAAACATAATTTTTAAAAAGCTATTTGTCCTTGAAAGTGATAAACTTGAGAACAGAGTGAGCACACATGGAGGAATTCAGCCCTATCTTTCAAAGACAAATAAAAGTTCATTCCTTTAGACGGAGGACTTTGAAAAGTTGTGGATTTTGTGCAAAACATATCTAAACTCTGACCAATTAACAAACACTGAGAAAGGGACAGACGAGTAAGAGCTGAACTAATTTTTAGCATGCACTCTGTTTGACATCTGCTTTTTACGGCTTCCTCCAGCTGTTTCACCATAATTTGACAGCTTAAGAATGCGTCAGGAATTTAGGCTTAACAGGAATATGCTCATAGGTTTATCTCCAGCCACCAAATGCAGATAATGTTTTCATTTGTTTGTCTGTTAGCAAAATATCTCATGAATTACTGGACAGATTTAAATGAAACTTTCAGAAAGTAATCACTGGATGAACATTTACACCTCTTGAACATTTGGAGTCAGTTCCATTCGAGATGGCCGCCACAGCTAACCTTAATAAACATGCAAATGGCTACTACTCAGCCAATTTTTCTGATATTGCGATTAAATTTAATGTGGTAGTAGCTGAAACTCATCCCAGTACATACACTAAGCAAAATGCATTTTAAAACTTTAGCATTTGCTATTGAAGGCAACTCTGTCAGCAAAATTTCTCCTAAACCACTCGATGGATTATATTAGAAGTTGCAAAAACATGCACAGAACATATGCAGGCTGCTCAACATCAGAGTACAAAGAAGAATTCAAAACCCTCTGTCTAATCAGTGTCATGGGCCTCGTGTCCTCAGAATGTCAATTGCACCCACAAAACCTGCTCCCAAAACCTGTTTTACTATAAAGAATTAGTTTCGACATGTTCTCAAGCCCAAACATGCAAACTTTATTCATTCTTATAACTCACTAATGCTTGTCTAAAAGTGTGATTTTAACACTAATTATATTCTGAATTGAAAATGCATCAGTTGGAACTATTAATGTAAACTACTTTGATTAGGTTTCCGTCTGTCCTAAAAATCATTGCCATATAATATTTAACCACAGGGTGTCACACAGGAGACACTTTCTGAGACAAAAAAAAAAAAAAGGGCCATAAAATAACTTGGCTGGAACACCTTTTAGGAGTTTATTTTTTCTGTGGAATTATGTAACCATAATTGTGAGTTATTTAACTAACTTCATTTTACTTTATATTTCCCTATGTGTCACAGTTTTTCCCATATTTATTATAATTCCCATGTGAGACCGGTGGTTTCTCTCTGCAGAAAGAAGCAGCCAGCCCACAAAGAGCTGCAGGCCTGTAAAAACTGTGAGTGACTTTAAAGAAATGTATTGCTACACTTTTTTTTTTTTTTTTTAATGCAGACCTCTGAATTTTAACTGAAATTGGGAGCTTTAAATGAAAATGCCGTTTCTAGTAAGAATGATATGAAAATGGACTTTAAAATAAAGCCTAAAATTGCTGTGAGCACAACACTGACATAGTTTAGCTGTCAAAATGTATGTTGCCAAAAACAATTACAGAGCTACAGAAAAAAGTTTTTCATTTACTCTCCATCGCTCCTCTTTCAGATCAGCCCAGTATTGAACAAAACTGCACCAGTGAAGTTGATAACTGAGTTGTTTTTTACAACTTTAAAACTGATAACTGCTGCTGATCAAAGAAACACCATGAGAGCAAAGTTGTAAACTAACAAAGAATAAAAACTAAATCTAAGGTCTTTATTGACTTGAAATGTTATCTCGGACATCTAGGTGTTGTAACTCATTTTATATCCATGATTATTCTACTAGGTCTTCTGAAAGTTAATTAAATTGCAGTTTCTATGCATTTATAATTCCACACAAAAAGGCTGACTTCTGAATGGTTGGACAAATCAAACACAACCTTAACCTTTCCCTAAAACAGAAAACTTTATACGTGCCGTACACTGAAAGGATAAAATTCACAATTAGTGAAAACCAGTGCAACAAAGAGCTCAACCCAGAGGGAAAAAGGCGTGTATCCCATAGAAAAAACATTTCACCCTCTAGTTGAGCTGTCTCACCAATACAAGCAGTCAGCTTTTGCACATTTTGCTCCTTATTAGTCTTTCCAGGGTTGTTGGCAGCAGGATGCTTCACTCTCCTTTCTTTACCGGAGGAGCAGAGAGCCATAAACACAAGTTAGAACATGTTTTGTGAAATGACTCGTGGCTGATCGATGAAGATGTTCTATTCTCAATATTTGAAATAAATTACAGCAGGACATCAAGTCTGAAGTGATTTGTTGGTTTTGTTTAAAGTCACTTCACGCGACGTAAAAAGATGCATGCAAATTATAAGCCGTAAGAAAATTAGTTATCAAATTGAAATAAATGACATTAGTGCTGAAAGTTCAGGATTTGTTTAGTTTAGACCAACAAAAGATATACTTAAAATCAAATGAAGGTTGTCAGGTCATCTGGATGGTTTCTTTTTTTTTTTGTTGAGACGTTTCATCCTTCATCCAAAGGACTTCATCAGTCCAAGGAGCCACAACAAACTCAGTCCCATAAGCAACACACTCACATCGTGGACATACCAGTTTGTTGGTGATAAGATGGTTTCTGGGGCCTGCCCTCTCCCCCGTCGACTCCCCATGAGGCAGACATAGCCAAAGTGGTTCAAAACATCAAAGTTCATCTTATCACCAGCAAACTGGTTGGTCCACTATGTGAGTGTGCTGCTTGTGGGTCTGAGTATATTTGTGGCTCCTCGGACTGATGAAGTCCTTTGGATGAAGGACGAAACGTCTCAACAAAAAAAAAGAAACCATCCAGATGACCTGACTGAACTTTGTTGGATTACCACAAACAGTTTAGGGTTTTATTTATTTTTGGGAGATGTTACTTTTGAATTCATTTTTTACAGCAAATATTTAGAGGAGCTGATTAAAAACATACCGGTTACTAAATTTATAACTCTAATGGGACAAATGTGGACAGAGCCAACCATGGGAAGTCTGAGCTAAACGGTTGGATTATCAGTTGGACTCAGCAGACTGGGTTCAATTTTAACCCCCTAAAAAACTAATTTGTTAAACCAGAGTTACTAAAACCTGTAAAGGAAAAAAACGGGTAAAGAAAATGGATGGATGGAACTGGCACATAAATTGTGAGCCAGCGTGTTTCTCAAGCTGCCAGCTCCACGTTCCTACTCTCTTTATATTACACAATAAAACAGTCTAATCCTCCTACCTACAGTACCTGGTCATATAACCTTTTTTTAAAGAACTCGTTAACTGCCTCAAGCGACAAAGTGTTGAGTCGCCTCGTAGCAACAAAGTTCTGGGTTCCTTCCAAAACTCTTAAAACAGACATGATTCATGGAGGATCCTAACTGGTAGTAAGTGTGAGTGAGTGTCCTAAACAGGCTTTGAGTTATAATGAGCAGATTGTAAAACACATGTTTGTGCTGACGTAAATAAAATAATGATGAGGAAGGAAACGGGCTGATTGTAAAACTCTACTATCATCAAATCTGTACATCATATTTGAACATAATGGATTGAATTGATGTAAAAATTGCTTTGAACGTTTCATTCTTCTTTATAATCCCAAACACTACAGAAAGCAAACTGCAAACTTTGTTTTTAGTCCTTATGGTGGTCCTGATCAAACAAGCTTCTGACAGTCATGGTGTCTGTCTGTCATTAAAGCAAGTTTGGTCAAGTTTCAATTGTTTGATGTTATTGTTAAATGACAATAGGGACATTTATTGTCATGAGAGAGATGGTAATGTAGCATAACAGTTATGAAACCGACTGATTTGCTGTTGAAAAGCCACCATAGATTTACAGCAGTTTGTGCTGAGCAGTTTATTATGGCTTCATTTATTAGTCGTACCTTTAGATTTGGATTTTTTTTCTTTGGCAGCACTTGCGGATGGAGAGCTGTCCTTGGTTGTTGTCTTTTTCTTTGTTTTTTTCATAGGAGTATCCTCATCAACGTCATCATCGTCATTCTCTGTGTCTGAACCTGGAGTGAACATAAATAAAGGAAACATGTTTTTGACACTTTAAATTAAAAATGTCAAATTCATAACATTTGCGATGCTCAAACTCCTTAATTCCAACATTATTGCTGATGTTTAATAATCACCAAATATTAATATTAATAAAATAATCTTAAGTCAGCTGAAAATATTTGACCTCATACAGAACGTCTGATGCAAGTTAAGATTGATAGCAGGGCCAATTTATCTACCCTTTAGGGGGGGTTAGCCCCCAGGGCTGACAATAGTTCTTGCCTTGAACAATGCAATGGCCATTGGTGTCAAAACATTTGTAATGTGGGGGAAGAGACACTGGTGTGTGTGTGTGTGTGTGTGTGTGGGGGGGGGGGGGGGGGGTCTCCCCCAGAAAATGCTGACTAAAGTAGATGCCATTTCTTGCATTCTGGTGTATTTTAACAGGTTGTTAAACATCTGCGTTTACCTACATAAGTAAACACCTGATTCAATAGCTATTTTAGAGAGCAACAAGAAGTACCCTGACCAACAGCTCTCCTTGTGTGAATAGAGCACACTCCGCTTCTCCCACACATCCTAACCACTACCCCCGAGCCCCAGCTCCTGCAGGTAAGGGGTGTTTCACTTCAGGACAAACTGAGATCGCCGATTGATCAGTTGCTGACAAGCCTGCTGGACTGATCGACAGGTTGCATCCGACTCGTGAAAAAAAAGTCATAGATTTTACTGGGCCATTTAAGAGTGTCATAATTTATTCCATATTTATTCAATATTTTTGGTGAATCTAGGTTTGATAACTGCGTTTACTTTCAAAATTGTAATAGTGGTTTCTTAATTTTTCAAGGGTGCTGAGTTAAAATTTAGGGGTGCTTGAGCACCCACAAAAAGAGGCTAAAATTGCCACTGATCGATAGAGCAACCGTCAAAATGTTTACAAAAGCTACCATAAGTTTTTATTCTTTTTGACAGCAATCAACTCTACAACTGTAAACTCTGAGAAACACAAATTTTGTTCGCTGATTCAGTGTGTAAACGTCCATCAGGTCACTTCAAGATCTATGTCAAGAAATCCCGAATTTTGTTATTGCACATTTAGATATTACCTTTTGACCAAAACATTAGTTCCTGCAGAGGGTATGAAAATAAGCAACACAACCTTTAATCAATCTTCTAAACTATAGTATACTCATTTTTATTAAGATTATTTTCCATATTTTTAGAGGGAGCTTCTGTTTCACCAGTTATATGAAAATTCGAGAACCACGTTGTGAAACTCACCTTTCTTCTTTTTTGGAGCACTTTTGGCTTTCTTTTTTGTCTCTTTCTCTTTTTCTTTTCCTGGTTCGTCTTTGTCTTTTTCTGGTTTCTTTTTCTTGACCTTTTTTCCGTCTATAAAGTTTAAATTAAACATCAGAATTACAACCATCATTTTACAGCCGTGGCAGAGACGAATGGATTGTTTTCCACATGGCATTAAACTGAAAAATAAAATCCCTCACTTTGAGTAGTGGAACCATCTTCCTCAGCTGCTTCTTCCTGCTTCTTGCTTTTTGTTTTCTTGGGTTTTGCTTCGGTTCCGTTCAGCTTGGTTTCTGTTGCCCCGTTGGCCTGCTCTTTCTTCTTTTTAGGCTTCTATGGAATTTCTTTGATAATACAACCAAGAATATGTAACCTTATGCATGCAAAATCAGACATAAGAGAAGAGTAAATGTTTTGAAAGATTTACTAAAACACATATTATAGACTCACCAGAACAAAGTCAAATAGGAAGTGAAGCAAGGGTTAAAAAAAAGAACAAAGAAGGATGTAAAGTTATGTCATTAGTAGTTTTTCTGCTTATTATTCTTATTAATAACAATTCAGTTTTAGATGAATTTATTTTCTAATAACATTCAAACAGGAATAATATGCAGAGCTTGGTACAATCTGATCAAACAAATACTGAATGCTTTCTTAATATGTTTATAAAACTGTTTTATAACACTCACATTAAACAAACAAAAAATTAACTAGCAATTTTTTTTTTAATACAGTAATTTTTATGGGCGTCTTGCTTGACTTGCACCAAATATCAAAAAAGAAACAAAAAATAAAGTAATTAACATTTTATTAGTTTTATATTGAAGATATTCAAAGTAAACAAAGTATGCACATTTTTTTCTCATATTGGTGACATGACTATATGTATATAATATATTTATCCAGCCAAGTTCTTTGTTTATATTGCGTAAATACCCACATTTCAGAATTGCATTACAAGTCATCCTGAAAACTACCAGAATAAACCTTTTTTAAACTGCACCGTTTGATTCAAAATAACCTTTTTATGTTTAATTTCCTAGTTTGCAATGATTGCCTTTAAGATGCAAACTCACATTTTAACTGATTCCTGGAGACAATATTATGAGAATAAAAGCTTTTAGATCTAACACCAAAGTACGGAATAAAAACAGCTGAATACGGAAAAACTTTTCAAGTTGCTGAAGTAAAAGTTCTACTACACCGTGATAATACTACTATGTTTGGGGCGGTATAGTGGCACTTCTTGTCCTAACGAAATAGCTTCATGACAATCTCACTTGTTTGTTGTTTTATGATTTACAAACTAAACTTCTGTTTGGATGTAGACGTGAGCTTTAAAGTCAAATCCAACGAGAGCTGTAAAGACATGACCTCAAGACCGACTGAAGATATGTAAAAGATTGCCTGTGTGATGATTTCAGCATAAGAAATGATTCACTGCTGTGCTTTTCCTGACCGTTTTCCACTGAGTTCACGTTAAAACATTTGCTCTGAATGACTTGAACAACACGTTACAGTCCACATAAGGTCAGGGGGATTGTGGCCGGCGGAAACAGCGGAGCTAATCCTATTAGATGTAGGTCCCACAGCCACAAAGACAGTTTGTGCTCACAGAAAATCCCAAACTCAGAGTACTACAAAATGTAATGTAATGCAACAATTATAATTTATTCAGTTCTAACTGTCAAATAATTTTACACTTTACCAACATGGTCAAGTTTTTATTTTTGTTAGCAATGCCCTTATACTGGGAGGATGAGCTTTACTTGTTTTAAGTGTTGCTTAATTTTTAATATATATATTTTTTATGTACAATTGTAAGCTATACTTCCAGCAAAGATTAATAAAGGCCAAGGTTAAGTATTATTATTGTTCATAAAACATCGTCCATGGCTATACTGGTGATCTGTACCTCATTTATTAATGAATTTAATAGTTTTCACAAACCAGAATTGAATTGTCACAAAGCTATCTTTCTAAATATATTTATTTTTGTCAAATCTAAACAAAGCAGAGACTACCAAAAAAAACCATGTTCTGCAAATGTACTAAATGCCACATTGGTAATTTAAGTCATTCCTTTATGCCTAACCACAAAACAACGATTTAATTCTACAAATATCTGGACGATCCTTTACCTTCTCTGCAGACATGACTGGTCCTTCGAATTGAGCCGCTTCCTTTCAAAGGTTGAAAACAAAATAAAAACCCGTTTTTTTCAACAGATAGTAGAAGGACGAACCAGCCTGTAGTGACTATGTCTCCATCAGCAGAAAGTTGTTAATAGGATTTATGTGTAAAGCCATCTGCTCTGCAGAAACACGTCAACAGGAGAAACCAACACGGCCTTGGGAGGAAGAAGAAGTCTTAGCTGTCACAGAAAAAAAAACTTTCAAGATGCCATTCTTGTTACTTTTGTTTCCCGGACACATTGGCTGCTTCAGCATATCATTCATTTATTTATTTATTTTCATGCTTTTTATTTGACAAGGTTCGTAAACTCATTTATTAATATTTCATAGAGGAAAATCTGAATGCCAGAACATTAATAATCATTAAATATTCTAATAAACGGCCTGTTAGGGTGTACAAAGTGTCCGTCTTGTGACACAGACTACTGCAGCTGCTTCTAGGATTTTTCGAGCTTTCACTGGTTTCACTCCTCTGGCTTGGACTGGTGAAAGAGGGTGTGGTGAAGCACTTCAGCTCATTCAGAAAACCACAAATCATTATTAATGGAAGACATGAAAACCATAATCTTACTGACATTCAATTATTCTGGGCTGCTAGATGGCAACACTGACAGATGGAAATCAGACCAATAAGTCACATCTTTCTCACAGTGGGATTGTAGAGCATCATTCAGACATGTTAAATCAGTATTTCTGTGCCAAATATGAAAATAATAATTCGCTTTTTGTTGCTGTTTTATGTTCTTTTACTATTTACTGTGTTTTGCATGATTGAAGCTCCATAACCTTGAAGGCCAGAGGGAGGTGGTAGAAAGGTGGAGCGGTGTTACATGATTTAAAGAGGATTTTCAACAAAGCAAGAAGTTCCCCCCAACCCCAGCCCCCTCATCCACCCCAACCCAGCCAGGAGACTCTGACCCTTCAGGTGGGATTACTGTAATGAGCTGCTCACCATCTGTGTGGAGTTGATTAGCGTAAAAGCAAGAATATTATATAGAAAATAGTTTTTTTGATTAAATTTGTGTAGGGAAATGTTTGATTAACAATTCACTAAGCAGTACACTGATGACCTGTCGCTGAGGAGTTGAATAGTGAATGTTTGTACAGATGAGTGTTTTTTCTGGACTGGAATTAAACAGGGAATGCAAGTAAACCTTAATGGTTTTGGTCCAAGATTTTCAAGGTGTTACAATGTGGAGAAGAACAGACAGAGCTTTTTTTTTACTTTTTATTTTTTGTCTGAGGAATGACGGATCCTGGCGAGAGGAAAGATCAAATTCATCCACCCCCAGGTGCAAGGGCGGAGCCAAGGGGTGGCCAATGGGGACTTTGGCCACCATAGATTAATGTTCGGCCACCTCAATAATTTGAGAAAACTATCATTTTAAGCAATAGAAAAACTAAAAACAAAGTTTCTTGAAATAATAGGGGTAGCATACAGTAGACCCTCGCTACGTCGCAGTTCGACTCTTGTGGACTCGCTCTTTCACGGTTTCTCAAAGTAAGATTGGACATGACGCACAACTGGCTGATTGATGGATGAGCCACACAAACGACATGGATTGTTTATTTAAAATAAATTATTTTAAATGCTTTAGTACCTGCTAAATCATCAGGTGCAGGGAGAAACTCCCTCCTGCAACGTGTCATGATCTCTCCTCCCTGCCACCGGTGGCTCTCTGCCATGCACACACTTCTTCTCCAGATGAAGATGCTTGGTGAAGGGTTAACCCTTTGCTGTCCAACTGCACCGATTGACTTTTACTTTTGTCCTCCAATTTAAAATTCAAAGTATGTCACATCGTAAAATCGTCATAGTCACAAAATATTAAAGTGTTAAAAGTATATATGTATATATTTATTTATATGGTGGTAGCTATTTTGTATTTTGATGTGGCAACCCAGTTTTTAATAGGAACCTTCCTTATGCCTTAGTGTAGCCCCACACCAGAGGTTAGTTGGCCCGCTACTCATTTTTTGTTATCCAGATCACAAAGTTTACATATATGTGGCGGTGACTATCTTAGATTTTGATTCCTCAAAACTAATCTTTGAAAGGAAAGTTTCTTATATCTAGATATAGCCACACGTCAAAAATGGAAGTTGGTAGTACCTCACTTATTTTTCAAGTTATAATCATAACATTCACAAATCGGCAGACGGCTGTATGGACAAAGGGAGGATATTTCCAATAGTCCCTTTTCACTCCATGTCAAATAAAAAAAATATATATTAACATAAAAAAAGATGTAAAACAACAAGAAAACAACAACAACAAAAAAAACTATGTGATTTCCTCTGATGACCACCAGATGCTGCTGCACTACAAGATACATACACACAGACACTTGCAGAAGAATAGTGGAGCAGCTGCGAGGCACCAGAGGACACATGGACATGCAGATGCACGAATGACAAACTCAACAACAGCTATGTTAAAAGTTGTACATCACATATTTGTTATAAAAATGAGTTTGTACATCACCAGGTTTAATCTGCTGCAGTCTGGGAGCTCACAGAGGTCAGTGATCCCAGCTGCAGTGAGCGACGACACACGAGGAGGAATAAAGGTGGAAATCTAACGTATTCTGTAGTTTTTTTTATGTCCAGACTCTTTGGTGGTCTGCGTTGCTGTTCTCATCACACAGTCCAGTTTGCTGACTGTGAAAAAAGTCCAGACTAATGGCTCTGCTGGCAAATGTTTGACAGTAGCACGGCAGTTGGCAGGCGGCCTAAGGAAGGCCAGTGACCTCAAGAGAGCAGCAGTGAAGTCGATATGATCTTAAAGAAACAGAGGCAACAGTGTGTGCCACAGCTTACGACCAGTCTCCAATGCATTTTCAAGTCATTTGTGTTTTATTACTCGGAGCAGGATGATGACCAATGCTGAAGGGACGAGAAGCAGCGGGGCGCAGTTTACCGGCGAGGCTGTAAATCTAGTTCTCGCTGTACCAACAACTGTGGCAACAAGGCCGACAGAAATGAGGCGCCTTCATCAAAGTTATGATGAGGTGGGGACCGCTCGGTGCACTGTTGCAAAGCCAAGACAAATATTGATCAACACTTAAATGTAGAACCCCCCCCAACAGCAGTTATTTGTGTCTGAGAGGGGGTGTAGTCGCTTTTAACTCACCCATACTCGAGGTGCTCAAATTAGGAAAGGGGGAAAAAACGTGTGTGAAACGCAACACAAGCTGAAGCTTCATGAAAGCTTGACACATCTACAACTGAAGACAGACGATCCAGGAAAGGGTAGTGCGTCTTGCACTTCTTTTCTGTTATGCAGAGATAAAAATAATATATATTTATGAGGAGCAACTCTAATTATCTAGATACAAATAAAGCAGAAATGATCCTGCAGGCAGACAGTAAAGGTCCTGGGAGTGGTCACCGCCTCCAGCGACAGAGACGGCAAAAAAAAGCCAGACTCCCCTTCTGAAACTTGTCTTTTTTTAAATTCTGAAACGGTGCCAATAGAGGCTGTCCTAAATCCTTTCAGCTGAAGGCTTTTACAAGCTCGGTGTTCGTGAACAGGAAGCGAAAGCTTTGCAAAAAGATCTTGTCGCTTCTCTCTTTGTGTCGCCTCGTCGTCGAGCTGCACGAGACGCCTGCTTCAGTTCAACAATAAAATCATAGCTGCAAGTTTTCAAGAAATAAGACCGTGAAGAGATTTAAAGCACATAAAAAATAAAAAAAAAAGGGACAAAGAGTCGTGACGTCACGTATAGAGAGCTGTCTTGGACAGTGCCTGATGAGAGGGATAAACGTGTGTGACTTTTCAGGACACAAATATTGAATTAATGTGATTATTTTTGTCCCTATATTGTTGTAATATACGTGAATCACCTTGTTGGATTTACCACTTTTATCAAATCGCTCTGTCTTATTTTGGATTTGGAGCTCCAAGACACAAGGTGTTATTTGAAGGTGTTTTGTGGCGAACATTCAGCATCAACACGTTTCCTGTTGTGCTGACAGCAAACACCAGATTTCATTCACAGCTACAATCAAATTAAGGAATTCCAGGGGCGATCGTTGTCTTTTCTGCAAATGTGAACAAAAACACAGGCAGGTGCAGAACGACTACAGGCATCCAGAGTGACTTGTGAAAATGTGAACTGAGAGGCATGCACTACCTGGGACTGGTGCCAACTGCTGACAAAAGGTTTCACTGCATGCCTCCGAGAGAAGCCTTTAACTCGTTTACTTTGAAATGCTTCAGGAAAATCTGTCGCTGAGTCGTTTGTCCAGCTATTCTGTCGTTCCTTTCCGTGTTCTTATGGTACGTAAGTATTCATTTCTGATTTCTTTACTTAAGATTTGTAGTCTTTTCCTCTCTGCAGCTGCAGCCGTCTGAGATTTCTTCTTTTTGATACGTTATTTGTCTTTCAAAGTTTCTTTGCTCTGAGTGAAAGTACAACTCGGTCCGTTGTTGCTGTAATCGTCGGGAATTCAGTGAGTGCGTACAAGCAAAAGTCTGAGACTTCATGGTTTTTCTTTCCTGCCTCTTGGCAGCTGGGCAAAAGTGGGCAGGGAGAGAGAGGGGCATGGCCCAAAATCTGATCTGGAGCCCCAGTCCCTGCTCAAGTGAGGCTGCTTTCTGCTCAGACTGTCCCTCGTCTCCCAAGACAAAAGAGAGGGATAAGGAAAAGCTTCTTTTCTCCTCCTTTTTAACTTGTTTTTTCATTTTCTCAATCAATGCCACATTGTGCCTACACAAGCCTCATAGTGACGAGTCAGGTATTTATAAGTTTGTTTCTGCTTCAGTTTTGGTCTTTCATGTTCTGTTTTATGTATTGAATAGTCCTTATTTAGCTTTTTTGTGTGTGAATTGTTTCCTTCCACTCACGTGCTTTCATCTCCTTTATGTGTTTTAATTTGTAGGACAAATGAAAAATGTGCTTAAATGGATAATGTTGCTCTGACTAGTGTTTCTTACCATAACTTTTATACAGCGCACAGTATTTGTACTGAGAACTTTGCTTACATTCATCTAATCTGTATTATAAAAGATAAACGCTAAAGATTAACTGCAGTTAAAATATATATATATATATTTTTTTCTGCTTATTTTCTTAAGAATATAGCATTTTTTTC